AATTCTCGTGAACGCGCTTGGTAATCTTCGAATAATTCTAATCTTACAATTTCAATTTTTCATACACACTTAAACATACTAAGAGTACACGTAATCTCGTGCATAGTTTTTGACTTCTTTTTAATGCTAGACTGACTGATCACAATAATAACTAAACTTGTGAGTCTTGGGATGATTTAGTGCAAGTACTATGTTATTCTCTTACATTTTCTTGGAACACCAGACCAAGCAATCAAAAATTTGACTTAGTAGAAGTATTTGATTGAGTCTTGGTAGCAATTTGGTTCTCTTGAATCTTGGAATGACCAGCACATACATACTACTACTACTGGTCAGCAGTAAAATTGACAAATCAAATGAAATTTTGACAATGGTATGGTGCACCTCTTTCAAACAAGAAATGACCACACAGGGACCTTCTTAATAACTAAGATAAGAATATTGTGATAAAGCTCTCATTCCTGGCTTTCTATAGCTGTTGGTGGTATTGTTAAATGACTGGCAGAACCCTTTCTTGTTCAACCGGTAAAATGAAAATCACCATATGCTAAAATCCGGTCTCTTTCATCAGCTATAGCAAGTGCTTCAGACATATTCCATTTATACAAGATTCATAACTGTATCAGTATAATAGATCTGTTGAGTGCAAAAAGAAGCATTCCAATTGCCCAAATAATGACCTTATTTCATTAGTAAAGGTGCAAAAGGGACACTTAATTGGGAACGGAGGAAGTACTAGTTTTCAGGATGATGGTACACAACAAGTTCTTGGCTACGGTGCACTGCACTGCACTTCACTATCTTTACTAGTGCGCATAGCCAGTAACCTCCTTGAGCAATTCTTAAAGCCCTGGACTGCAACGGATACGTACGTACTGTATTAGAAGGATACGTACGATACGATACGAATCAGAAAGGAATGAAAGATCATACCATTCCTACGTACCTATCATAAGGTACGCTTCCTATGTATGTATCATAGGATGCATCATAAGAGGACCGGACACTGAACACGTAAGAGGTCCGAGGATCGTAAGAGGTCCACGATATCAGAAATAGAATACCTCGCACGGAACAAAGATGTCAGTAGATCAGAATAATAAGAACYCTGTGTAGATTTAGTACCGAGAGCTACACAGGATCTAATCAGATCTACTGAAAGCTCAAGTCCAAGCGCGAGAATCTTAATCTTATATCTTAATCTTATAATTTTCATACACACTTAACACCTACTAAGAGTACACGTAATCTCGTGCACAGTAATTACTGAGTGATTTTCGTGTATCAAAATTAATCATTCATTAAGAAAAATAACCAAAATACCACATCGACCATGGTGAAACCAAACAATAAGAACTCCTCACAATATCAACATACACATCAATTGTGCCTTACCCTTGACAACCAATTCAAGAAGAGTGACCTTGATAGGGTCAGTATCTTTGTGGATCACCCAGCAAGGACAGAGACTACAGGACGAGGAACCAATAGGAGAACAGTTGAAATCCCGGCAATGAGAAAGAAAAGAAGCTGTGTGGTCTT